TACAACTTCAGGCCAATGTGCCTTTTCCATGGGAAACTTCCTATTGTTCCAAAAGATCACTGTGACATCTTAAAATATGTCTGGCTCTAGATATCAAAATATAAAAATATGATACCCCATTTATAGTGTGGGGGTATCTAGTATGCTAACAATCTGGCCATAGATTTAACACTGATATATCCAAAGTTCACCATATGAGAACTTCGTGGACTGGGTTCATAACAGGGATGGCATTCATTTGGTTCCCTTTTTAATAAAAGCTGAACTAGCTTGCACTCTTTCAAATTAACATATGAATTAGAACACAACTATCATTTAGTTTTTGCACTTCTCCAAATTTAGGGATGAAGTTGTTCAATCAAATGTGGCTACATTAGTGACAATTGTGTACCCCAGGGGTAGGCAACCTTTCCCCTTTAAGGGCCGAAGGACTTCAGCTCCCAGAATCCCAGGAGCTATTGGCCAACATGGGACTATTGGCCAACATGGCTGAGGCTTCTGGGAGCTGAAGTCCCTCGGCCCTTAAAGGGGAAAGGTTGCCTACCCCTGGTGTACCCAAATGCACACATTAAAGGAAGAAGGATACAAATTATAGGACAGTATTTGTTTAAAAAATGTTTATCAGAAAAAAATTAAAGACAAAAATGAACACCAATTTTCATTTAGATTTTTTTTACATGATAAAATATGACAGAACAAACTTGTGCTTGAAAAATTGTGTATGTTATTCAAAAGGGAAACAACAGTTTCGCCCATACTTAGACTGGAGAGGAAAGATGTTTCCATCTCATTTTGCATGGCAGATCTGCACTTCAGAAAGCTATACATATGCACAGCAAAATTTTCTGGCTAACTCTTGGGAATAAAGGGACTCCAAGATTCTTTAGATTTAAATAAGGTTTGAGCTTTTGCACACCTCCAGATTTGGGGATGCAGTTATCCAATTAGTTGTCCTCAGTGCTGGCCCCCAATTGGCTCTCAAATGTTTCCCAACACTATGGAGCATATTTTTAGAGTGTACAGGGAGCTACAAATAGAGAGAGGAAAATCCTTCTCTTCTCTGATGGAAGCTTTTCCATAAGAAATTAGCCTTTCTCCTGATGTGTTTTCACCCTAACAATATATTGCCTCTTTTAAATGGAGCAGCTGTCCAGGTTCCCCCCACCCCCAGTCTGTTAAATGAGATCCATTTTGAACTAGCAAGGCCAGAAATTTCTTTGGGAACTTTGCTTAAAAATATTTCTTGTTGTTTGTTGTTAACTGCCCTCAAGTTGATTTCGACTCATGGTGACCCTATGGATGAAACATTTCCAAGACCCTCTGTCCTCCACTGCTCTGCTTAAATCCTACAACCCCATACTTGTGACCTCCTTAATAGAGTCTATCCATCTAGCATGTGGCCTTCCTCTCTTCCTACTTCCCTCTACCTTCCCCAGCATTATTGTTTTTCCAAAGAGTCCTCTCTTCTCATGATGTGTGCAAAGTATGATGTCCTGGACTACGGCCAGCACCAGTCCAAACAAACGCTGATAAGAATGGTTTAGCAAGAAAGGAGCTAAGAGGCAGGCTACAGACCTTTCTGTTAGTTCCCAAGAAGCACACAAGTACCTATGCCAGGGTCAGGATTCCAGAGTACATAAGAGTCAGTTCAGTCCAAGTTCGGGGCAGACAGAAGGTAACAAGCATCCAGTCCATTCCGAAGTCAAAGGTTCACAGCACACAAGGGTTCCAGAGAGCAAGGACCTTGTGTGACAGTATCACACAAGGAAACTGCAATAAGCTCTGGGACTGAGAGGTCCTCTCCCAGGTGAATAAGTAGGAGATTCCCTCCTCCGTGCCAGTTGAGGCTTGTTAGTCAATTGCCTCTCTGCAAGCCTCCTTGACCGACACACACAAGCACTCTCTGCCCTGCATTGTCTGAAGGAAGGCACTTCCACACTTGTTTCTTCCTGATCCTTACCACTAGGCTGCTATGCCTCCATAGGGATCCTACTAGTTCTAGGACCTGGCTGCTCTTCCTCCTCTGGGGCTGGGAGGACAGGGCTGGGATCTAGCAGGGCAGGATTATGATCTGGTAGAGCCTCCCTTTCCTCCTGCACTGGAATAGGCTCATCTTCATCCTCATCCTCTGATTCCAGCTCCTGACTGACCATGACATATGATAGTCTCAGTTTGGTCATCTTGGCTTCCAGGGAGGTTTCTGGTTTGATCTACTCTAGGACCCACTTTTGGCTGTCCAAGGGATCCTCAGCACTCTTTTCCAGCACCACATCTCAAATAAATTGATTTTCTTCCTATCATCTTTCTTAACTGTCCAGCTCTCACATCCATACATGGTAACAGGGAATACAATGGCTTGTATGATTGTGACGTTTCTGCTCAGTTGTATATCTTTGCATTAGAATCTTTCCTAGTACTTTCATAGACACCCTCCCCATTCTCAATCTACTTCTGATTTGCTGACTGCAGTCCCCATTTCTATCAATGTTTGATCCCAGATATGGGATTTTTTTTTACTATTTCTATTTCTTCATTGTCTAGATTGAACGTGTGAAGATCCTCAGTGGTCATTATTTTTGTTTTCTTTATGTTCAGCATTAAGGGGGGTTGCAGACTGTCAAAAATAGTGTGAATTCAGTCCACTTTTAGGGTTAGGGTTAGTGCTAGGGAATCATGGGAATTGTTATTTTTCTGAGACATTGAACCTTCTTTGTCAGAGAACTCTAGTGCCACAATAAAATTCAGTTCCCATGATTCCCTAACCTTAACCCTAACCCTAAAAGTGGACTGAATTCACACTATTTTTGACAGTCTGCAACCCCCCTAAGTCTGCCTTTGCACTTTCTTCTTTGATCTTTCTTAGTAGGTGTTATAGGTTGGTGAGGTTTTCTGCTAGTATCATAGTGTCATCAGTATATCTCAGATTGTTGATATTTCTTCCTCCTATTTTCATTCCTCCTTCTTCTGTGTCCGAACCTGCTTTTCTTATATAATGTTCTGTATACAAGTTGAACAGATAGGGTGAAAGGATGCAGCCTTGTCTGAACCCTTTGCCAATATAATGGGACTTCAGCATCTGTGGATTTTGGTGTCCAAGGTGGGTCTTCTGTAATCACAAAACAGTTTATAATAATAAACACCAAAATATGGAATACAACTGATGGATAAAATAATTAAAAATGATAAATCATGAGATATTTCAATGCAATAATTGGGAACATATTTGGCAAGAACTGTGTAGGACATATGTGCAGAAATAGTCTGCCCTAGAAATCCACTGAATCTCAATGGGGAGTAGTATTCCTAGATAGCTGGCTTGTCCTGTCTCTTCAGGGTGAGGGGAAATATTTCAGGTGGAGAGTGCTGCCCTGAAAAAGTCTGCTCCTTGTAACATTACAGGGGATTACCTCCTGTAACATCATGAGGAGCAATCCATAGGTCTCACATTTTGGTTTAGATGCCTACTGAGGGGTTCATTCTACATGGTAGAGGCCACAATGGAAATTAAGTGAATCCCATTAGGCCCTCACATAACCGATCGATGCCTGAATAGGTCAGAGGCTCCTACCCACAAGGAAGATTAAAGAACATTAAGACTTGAAGAGTATAAAATAAAACAGTGTTCTGTTGATTTTTTTAAAAAACTGGTTTTTTTAAAACACACACACAAATGCAGACATGTACCTATCCTTCATAGTGAAAGACATGTAATGACATTTCCCCTATAATAAGCTCATGTCTTAAAAACCAATGTATTACATTTAATTTTTTAATAATGGGAATTATAACTGTGCTTCACAATGAGTAAGTGTATTAATTATGAGACAAATCAAGCCAGATAATGTTTCTTGCTCAGTTTCCTTTGAATTTCAATGTGTAAGATTTTACTTTAAAATTAAGGACCTTTTTATGTATCCAGCAATGAATAAATGAACTAATTAGAGATAATAAATATATTTTTATTGAAATCTGAATGACTACACTTGTCGCTGGCCCATAGAAGTGTGTAGTATGCCTTTGAGTTATGCACTGCTATGTATATTAATTATACATTCATCTTATTACTGACTTAAATATCTGAGTTCTGCAAACATTCATTGGGTTCAATATTGCCCTGAGCTACATAGATAAAACTTGCCTTGATTTAAATAGTTGTATGTGTCTGTCTGTCAGCAGAATTGGCTCATTTGGTAAAGCTTAAAATATACTTCAATTTTTACAATAGGAAATATGGGAGCTTATAAGCCGAGAACAAATTTATTTAAATCTAATGACACAAAAAATGTAGGAATTAGAGAAAGAGAATGAATGAGGAAGTGAAATTAGAAAACCATTGGCTTCTCTGCATAAAATGTCCCTGAGCCAGATTCTTCCTTGAAATACTTTGCCCATTTGTACTGTTCTGCGCTCCTTGGCTTCCCTTTCCCAATAGCCCCTGCCTCTGGGAAGGAACTGCTAAATGGATTGTGAAACAGCTCCTATTTATTGTTTCTTCTGTGTATCTCACTTTGAAGCCAATGATTATTATTCTGATATATGTATGTTTCCAGTCATTGCCCTAAACACCCTAAATGAAGCTGCTTTAAAGGCATGAGATCCTGCCTTATCTTTGAAGCTAAACAGGGTCAGCTCTGCTTAGGATTTAGATGGAAGATCACCAATGAATACCACATGTTGTAGGTTATTTCAGAGGAAGGAAGTGGCAAAACAACCTCTGGGTATTCCTTGCTTAAGTAAACCTGTGAAATTAATGGGGTCATCATAACTTGACAGGTGACCTGAAGGCATGTACACACACATATTTCTACTCAATTCATTAGTTTCTCCCAGAGCTTGGAATGTTGTTGTTGCTGTTGTTGTTGCCTTCCAGTCATTTTCAACTTAAAGCAACCCTAAGAGGTTTCTTTGGAAAGATTTGTACGGAAGCAAAATTTGTTCCATGCCTTCCAGTGAAGCAGAGAGTATGTAGCTTCCCCAAGGTTACCCAGTAAATTTCCACAGTTGAGCAAGGATTTGAACCCTGATCTTCAGCATCCTAGTCAAACACTCTAACCACTACACTATGCTGGATCTTTTGGAATGTTACTAAGTAACATCACTCATTTTCTCTGATCATCTAACAGATTATTACTTGTTACTGCAGCAACATTGCCTTTGCTGTTAATCATGGAACAACAAAACCAGACACAGAAAGTTGAGTTAAACAAGTGCCACTTTATTTCACCTAAACCTATTTAATTGTGTTGAATCTGGAAATAAGCATGAAGGGGTAAAAAAAAAAACCTAGCACAGGATTAGCTGTGGCAGGTGTCACTCCTTGACTTCCTCCTCAGCCTTCTTCTGAGTGAAACACCTGAGCCCTGAGGGTGATCTAGTAGCTAGGTTGTACACTGTTCAGCCATCTACTGGAAAGGAGACCCAAGGAAACCTCCCCCCTCCAGAACTTAAAATGAAGGCAAAGTCCTTAGGCCAGCCTCAGGAATAGTCTTCTTCCTGACCCCTGGGTTTTAGGATCTAGAGTCATTTCCAGAGTTCTCCCCTTCACCAAAAGGGTGCCAAGGTGTTTACAGCACCTGCAGCTTTCATCACGTCCCTGCTATCTGCCGAATGACTAGCTACTTAAAAAGAAATTAAGGGACTGGATAGACTTTAAGTATTCACTAATTCCATTCCCAACATTCAAAATCCAGGTGCAACTGTGCTTGATGAACAAACCTCTGGCCTCTCTCTCTATTCAAGGCCAGAAAATTCATCTCCTCCCACATGGCATGTTGTGCTATATCCCCCCCCCAAAAA